GAGAGCTCCAGGTAGTTGTCTTCCTTTTTTTTTTTTCTCCTCTGACGATTGTCTCACAGCAGCTGTAATTCTGGGCCTGTTAGGCTGAAAGCAGCTGTCTGAAAACCTCTCATTTTCCGCGCAAGACGAAGCAATGATGGAGAAAGGAGAAGCGTTTTACCTGGACTTTTCTGACAGGTGTGGAAATCATCAACCCTCTGGTATGCATGATGATACTTTTGTACCAAATCAAAGAATAAAGTGAATCATGTATCTTTGTGAGCCATGAAATTTTCATTTAACAGCTTGAGCTTTGTTGTTGCAGCATGTTTTTTTTTTTTTCACTCACTTTAAGACGTAGTCATATGTATACAATATGCCTTACATTTCATACAGTTTAAATGGAGAGGAGAATTGAAACTCAGGATTTTCCTTTTACATGCAGACTCAGACACATTTCTTTTGGACTCAGCATGGTTCATGTGTTATCTTTGGACACCATGGGAATTACTCAGAATTTAAAATGAGTTTGAACAGAACTTGGCCATGCAACATGACTTGGATTCATGGACTGAAAAAGAAAGCAGGCAACTTCCTCTTGCTCTGGCAGAATTTCGGTGAAATTGCCTCATTTCAAAAGGCTTAAGCTCGCATAAATAATAAGGCACACTAAAACCAAAATCCCATTTTTGGTTCCCAAACAATAGCTTCAGAGAATAGACATGGGGCGTTTTGTTTTTGTGGCACTTATCTTATCTCCTCAGGACAAAAATACAGTATTCAGTGTCCAAATAATGACATTTAAAAAGCTTTTTCATGTGACAAAATAAATTAAACCCCTCAAACAGCCCACAGCCAGCATGAGCCCGGCTAGGCTGCACACCACTCTCAGATTTTAAGGCTTTAATCAAATTCAGTGTGGAGCTAATAGGCTGATGGTGAGACAATTGAGTTTGTGACCAGAAGTTCACCACACCGAGGTGGACTGGTAAAATGAACAAGGAATGTTTGTTGATCGATAAAAACAACCTTGAAGATAAAACAACAGCTAGTGTCGAGTCGTATTGCAAAGGTTGGTTGTTGGTTGGTTATTTTTGGATAGAAATGAAAAGTGTTCCTGACATTTTGGATCTTGGTAAGACACTTTAAAGTGCTCTTGCAGCTTTATATATCATTTCATATCATCCAAACACAAAGGAACTGTATAGGAAAAAATTCATAAATCACTGATCTCAGTGGTGCTGAGCTCAAAAATCTGAGAGTTATTTTGAATTTGTGCTGACTTGTTTTAGCGTGACTGAAATGGAGTTCTAAATGGAGCGCTACACACCTCTCCTGTTTCTCTCTCTGGATACAGCAGATGTGACAGCTCCTCCCCTGAGAGGACGGCCTATAACTTCAGAGAAGGAAAGTTTCGGAAACAACAGAGAGACAGAAAGAAGAAACTAGGTTCATTGTACTAAGAATATCTATATGCAGAAAGGTAAAGCACAGCGCTACAGGTTCATGACCTCTCTGTTTTATTTCATAGCTTATATCAAAAGTATGTTAGACAAGGTTAAGTGTATCCTGCTGCTATTACATGTATGTATTTTCAAGAATAAAAGTGAAATTGCCTGTTTTTCATTCAAGTGTTGCTCTTTGTTCTTTCTCAGTTAAGCTGTAAATCAGTGACACCTTTTCCCATAAGGGATGACGTGCTGTAGACAGACACAAGACCAGACAATTACCCACATTATAGGACTTGAGCCAACGCACAAATCAGGTGTTACATGGACCAGCCTAGTCCTCACGCACAGAGCCTGGTTTTATCATTCCCCGGGATGAATGCAAGTCGTGTCCCATCTGAGTGAGCATAATTAACACCCGGTGATAAAACTGGGCCCCGCGGGAGCTGTCCACTCACAATATATTTAATTGAAGTAAATTATATAAAAGGATAAATTGAGAGTTATATGGAGCTGCCTTGAGCAAAGAGTTTGACCATAAACTATTATACTGGGCACAGTCATTTTCTGTGGAGCGTTCATTGAATAAAATGGTTCCAGGCAGTGAAAACCAGCTGAGGATGCTCACTCCTCATGTTTCTCCTTTTCTTACAATAATGTGTGCATCAGATTGTGTTTTTGTGTTTCCATGCATATTGTCTGCCTTAAGCTTGATGTGTGTGTCCATTTTTTACATGCAACATGACAGCCCATACTCACCTTTCTGCTCTGTTTGACCTCTGACACATCGTCACAGAGGTTAAGGCCTCTCCAGACAGGGTTGAAGGGTTTCCTTATCCTCTGACTCCAGGTGCACATAGCTACACAACACATAAAAAAAAAGAAACAGAGGTTGATTGATTGATACACACCCACATTTGCCAAACAAATGCATGCACTCAAGCGCACGCCTCCATGTGTCTCGAGCTCTCAAACAATATTTTTACCAATAAGATCCAATCACCATGCTAGGAGGAGATTTGCAGATGTGTCACATTTACATTCCTTTAGATTCTCTGACAAACATTTTCCTTCTGCAGGTAACATATCCAGACACAGACTGCATTTTAATACCTGGTAAACAAGGTTTCTGTCAGCAATCACAGTGACAAAACAAAAGCAGAGTGGGAACACGTCCCAATTGCTTTCCCTGGCTCTAGATCATTTTGAGTGTTTGTTTTTGTTGGGTGAATTGTTTCAACTTCTCATCCCTTTTTTTTTTTTTTTTATACTAAAGCTAAACAAGTAACAAAAACCTGGAATAAAAATGAGATTGTTTAACATAAATCAATACAGATTTTAAAAAAAAAGATGTGTGGCAATGAACAACATTTCTGTATTTGTTTTAATCTTTGTTCAGAGTGCCATTGGAAAAACAGTGGGAGGAGCTAGGTCATGAAGAGCTTATGCAACACATTTCTGAGTCAAAAGGACATCTACAATTGCAAATGATTACATACCACCAAAGACCTTCTGCTTCATAGAGCAAATAATAGACAAAGGCTGTAGTGGCTGATAAAGTAATAAGTTTAATTTGTAAATTAGAAAAGCAGAGTAATTGGAAATTTCAGCTATAAATGAGGTAGTATGAAAAACATTCACAAAAGCCAAGGATATTGTCCAACTCCTCTAAATTCACACTGGGACTTTATTATAATATGTGCGCCAGCTGTCTCCTTTATCGCAGACTGACATACAATGACAATGACATACAATGAAAAAGCAGGTGAAGGGCCAGTGGTGTGTTAAAGGCCACTTTGACACCCGGCTCTTATCTTTCACTTGTGACCTTTTGATGACAGAAAAACCTGGAGATTCCCTCCTGCCTGAAAAAGAGCTACAGTCAAGTCTGCACAGCTTGAAGCTTATATCTCCTGCCTGCTATCCAGTGATAGCTTCAGTTCAGGGCATTACTTCAGGTTTCTCAGAATACGACCCAGAACTGTTACCGAGCTGCAAGTAGAAACAATTTACTATAAGAATGACATGACTTAAATGACGGTTTTGGTCTTAGGTATCATTTTGAACACTATTTTGGTTTGCAAAGACCCACAGAGCTGTGTGTCATAAACATGCCCATGTATGAGTGCATGTGTTCAGTATGATGAAAAATGCTCACTCAGAAAAAGCTATTATGTGTACTAATGGCAAAATGATGTCAGGGAGGCTTTTTGAGCCACTTAGCTCTGCTGCTGGATCAATAGTGCAGCTTTGGGATTATTTACACTGTCCACATCTCAATTTAGGGTTACGACTTGGTCATCACTCACAGATGAACGTATGTTTCTGTAGCAGCAGCAGCTGTATAGAGCAGTTGTTTGGGTCAAACACTTGGAAGAACCTGATTAGGTGTAGTGGATGTCTATTAGAGTATTGATTTTTGTGCCATTCTCGTTGAGATCATCAGCTAAGTGGGGTGACACATGGACTGGATGTAGACCTGAATATATGGAGAATTTATCAAGCGTGGTAGAGGATGAGATATGCACCCCCCATGTTTAAAGCACGGCTCCTTTAGATACAGTTAATGTAGAGTATTTACGGTGGTCATATTTCTGGTCCTGCTCTACTGTGGCCAATAAGGCAAACAGATCTGCAGCTGCAAACATCTTCATTTACCAGGCAGGAAATGGAGACATTATGCAAATTCATAAACACATGTAAAAGTCCAGAAAATCGTGCCGATGAAAAAAAAAAAGCACAGCATTTACATAAACGATGCATACGTGGAAATGCACAAACACAAGAAACACTTGAAGAATAAAACACACTACAAATAATAAGAAGAGGACAAAAGTACTCTCAGCCTGTGGACCACCTGTAAAACTTTCCCATTGACAGTAGAGCCTCGATAACATGACCTCTTCCTGTCATCATGCTATACCACTTTCTCATTTCAATAGATACTCTTGTTAATAATGAAGATAATGTTCTGTTTGCATTTTCCTGTGTCTGTTTCCATTGGATCTTTTAATGGTCGGTATTGCAGCTGAAATTTTTTTTTTAATGACTGCTCTTCTGTGTAATTATTTTTCTCGAAAATGTTTTTTTTTTTACTTTTAGGTAAATTGTTAAAATGTTTGAACTGAGACATGACATTGAAAAATCTCACAGGCAGTTTTATGAAACTAAAATTTAGCTATACGGAGAAAAAGAAGTCTTCTGGTATAAAAGAATGCAGGTCATCTGAGTGCATGATGCTAATGTAATATCATTTTCTGCTAAGTTATTGATGTCTCACAAGCGTAAAGCTTCAACAAACAGGGTTACTAATAGAAAATCAGAGAGGTGTGATAAATCTTTGCCCAAACCAGTAGAGATATTAAAATCCAATGGTAGCTAGATGAATAGATTGGTTCTATCTCCATGCAGCAATCTAAAAATATCTGCTTTGCAAAACAATCCAGAGGGGGGGATCTCCTGTGTGTGTTTACTGCTCCTTTCATTTCAACAGCCCTTCTCTTTGAATCTGACATCTCATTGTTTATTTCGGCATCTCTGTTTCTGCCCGCAGAGGCCAAGTAGAGCGATGTGATGGTGAGATCTTGTTACACTGCATCTTTGATTCCTGAACCTCTGCCACAGTCCTGCCAAAGCACCCGCTGTGCTTCGCTGTGCCCCTGCACCTCCCCACCTTTCTCCTTCCCCGTCACACATGAGAGAGGAATACAAATGTCTGCAGTCCCTGAAGCTCAGCCCCCCCCACCCCCACCCCCCACCTCCTCCTCCTCTCCTTCCTCTCCCTCCTCCAGCTACGCCACCCTCTGCCTGCCTCCCTCCATCCCTGACTGCTCCCCTCCAAGGACAGCCAAAGACATTCTCCTGAGTGAGATAAGAGTGATTTCAGCCGACATGGCAGCGCTCACACAGGCGTCTCCGGCGGGCCCTCGCCTGTGGACGTTACTGTTGGAGCCTTAGTGAGAGTGTGAGACTTTGAATGCATATGTTTGACTTGCTGGTGCACCGCCAGTGATGTGTTACTGGAAAACCATCCATATTTGTCGTTGTTTATCAGGGACAGAGAGAAAGAGAGATCATCAAAGAGAAACAACATCTCTCAGCATTAGGCGCTTGTCATGTTACAGAACTACATGTGACCTGGGTTAAGAAGCCAAGACCTGCAGCATGAATGATAAATGAACAAATGAATGAATGGGACATATTCTCTTTTACACAAAGAAACCATATGATGCACATTCTTTGAAAATGTCAGCCTCCAAGGTTAGATTTCACATGGCTTCTAGTGTGATGACGGTCATATGCAAACTCACAACTGCAGGAAAGTCAAAATAACAAAAGAAAGAGGAAAAAAACAAATATAGAAGAAAATAGTTGGATATCTTTAACAACAGAAATGCTCAGGACCTATAGGAGACACTTAGGGAAACAGGCTGATTACAGGAAAGAGGGGACAACAGGCACTACATTCTCAGATTAACAGACCATAAACATGAGATGCTGCCATGTTGGAGTGTTCCTACAGCCACCCATAATGACAAACAAACAAGAAACACAATTGTACAACGTGTCTAAAATACCTACACAATTATGGTGCCTTTTTTGGTGAAACTAAACAAGAAAGGAAGGGGGAAAGGTTTTCGTTGGATAAATACTGGTGTGTGATGCTGCTGTTAGCTTTGAATCTTCGTTAACCTTGCAGCCAGCTGTACTCGTGGCTAAATTTGCATGTGGTTACTCTAATGCTGAGTTCCAGTTGTACACGGAAGTCGTGATTTCCGAACTACGAGTTAGAAATTCATCTGGAATGCCCCCCCAGAAGTCGGATTTCTGACTCGGGAAGTTGGACGATCCCAGCCAACCCCGACTTGACAATGTCATAATCCAAGATAGCAGCGCAGTGCATCAACAGTAAAGAGGAACAGTGAAAGCTCTCGTAATGTATTATTTATTATCACTTCTGTTTTGTTTTTGTGAAATTAAATAAGTGGTATATATTGTACTGCCTGAACGTCTAACTGTGAACACAGTGCTATGGTGTTTGTAGAGTAAAATACTGTGTTGTGTGTTTTTTACAACTGGTATAGCTAACAACAACTAACAACTGATGACAACGGCTAACAATAGTTGACAATTGTAAACAACAGCAAACAACGGGTAACTGTATGCGTCCATCTTGATTTACTGACTTGTTGACTGGAATGCTGTCAACTCGAGTGTAGCGTCATTCCCAGCCCAGACATCCGACTACGGAGGTAACTGGAATGCTGCAGAAGCTTAGAGGAATGGTGCACATTTCCACAGTTACCACAGTAACTAATTCAACTGATGACTGATTCTTGCTGATCAGTCAATCACTATTTCACCATTTTGTGCAGGAAATATGTGACGCTTTCAAACCCCGTGCTATCAGAGGCAGAAATATTGTTTCGGCTGCAGAAGGTGACACGTGAACTCGAGGATCATGAATTTGTGTTTGTGCCTGTGGAGTTCTTGACAAGGAATGTATGGGTTTTATGGCCATCATCTATGGAGTTATTTGGCCCTGGAAGGACAAAGCAGAGAGGGGTGATTAAAAAGCAGAATGAAATGTCACACCTAATAGATACAGAGCCGACCGGAGGAAATGAAAAAGGAGAGCGGGAGGGGGAAGCAACGGCAAAGGAGCGAGAGAAGACAAAATGCAAAGAAAAAAGGTCCATACAAAAGTTTAGATGTGTGCAACTGTGCTTGACAGAGCAAATCAATGCGTGTGTGCATGTCCATGTGCGTGTGTCGGTGTGTAAGTTAGTGTGCGTGCCTGCATGAAGAGCCGGGAGAAATTGGAGCGTGTGGCTGAAGGTGTTCGAGGCTCCGGCAATTTCAGGTGTAATTACCCGCACAGAAAATAAGAGGTAAGTGGACTAGACAGAGCCACCTTGAGTCCTCTTTTCCAGTGGGCCTGCTCTTTTCTGCAGTTCTTTGCAATACTGAGAGGAAAATATTTACAGCACCATAAAATAGAGTTTGTGCCACACATGCTGCGAGGTTCAAGAGAAGTTTCAAGCATTTTCAACCAAATGTATAAAGTTTTCTGTGTTTAAAGTCTATCGTACTGTGCGAGCACAGAGGCACTGAGTTCATTCAATTCCTGCAGGTGGGGGTGTGTCCAGACTGTTGAGTTCACCCAACTGAGGTACTGTAGTAGAAAGGGTTGACTTGAACTGCATTTGAACTACATGTCCAACTGTCACTAATTCACTGCTTCTGTTCCCAGTAATTATTTCTGTAAAATATAATTGATCATTGTTTGGGTCATTGGGTGGCACCTTAGGCATCCAATCAGGCAAGTGTTACGGTCCCAATGTGTGGAAGAGCCTACCTGCAGACCTGAGAGCGACACCTACTGTTCATATTTTTAAAAGTAAACTCAAGACCTACCTTTTTGGTCTGGCTTTTAGTTGAATTTTGCTTTGAACTTTTTATCTGCATTATGTGAATTCACGCTATATTAGTCCTAGAGTGACTATTTTGTGTTTTGTTACCTCTTTTTTAATTTACTTTCTGTTATTGTTTGATTTTAAGACTGTTTTATTAAATTAACTTTTAACGCTTTATCACCTTTATTATATTTTATCATGGTTTTATTGCTTATGTTCTAGATCCAGTGTTTCCTCATTTTATTTTAACTCAAGATAGTGTTTCCTCAGTCATCTGTGGCAAGTTGAAGAGTCCTCACCTGATCTTTTGTGTCTGCATTTGGTTGGGAGGGAGGGTGGGGTTTGGTATTTGTATTTATTTTATTTTATTGTTTTTAATATCCTGCTTGAATGGACAGCACTTTGCGCTTTAAAAATAAAGTTTGATTGATTAAATGATTGAAGTGTTAAGCAAAGTTAATTCAGTTTCAGCTACTCTGAGTTGGGAAGACATGATAAAGTATTATGCCAACAAAGTCATAACTGTAAATATAAACGGTTACACAGAGGACCACTGAAAGCTCATTTGTTTTCCATATTTCTGTGATTTGACTCGTTTCCCATCGCTCACTCTACGCCTACTGACCTAGTAAAGACTGTTTTTCACCACACCTGTTCTGCTTACTGATTCTGCTTTTGGGCAGCAGATCTGTGATCCAATGTTACAAATATTGTCAGGGCGACATGCTGCCAAGGAGCGCAGGAATTGGACGCAGCCCAGTCCTCCCACTCTTTCCCACTGCATTTGGCTGCTGAGCTCCACTGAAGCTCTTCCAGGTAGAGGAAGTGCATGGTCCAGGAACCCTGACATTGAATCTTCACTGTGCACTCTCCACTTTTTTTAAAGGATATATTTTTTTTGGCAGGTTGATGTTTTTTCTTTGTTGTACATGCTGGTGATAGTGTGAAACTGGCAAGGATACTAAACTTCAACCCTCTCCAGAATGAACAGGATCTACACCTGCCACCTGTCTTGGGCCGGAAAAAAAAAAGAAAGCAACATTGGCACTGTGCCTCTTCAGTAGCAAAGCTGGTAACCATCTGTGGTATTTTTGAAGTATGAGTTTAGTCATACAATTTTATCAAGAAGATTGCCAGGTAACTTGGAGAGGGGGGAATATATAACGTTTCCAAAAGCCTCTCTTAGGATGTGGACGTAATGTGTCGGGATGTGGAAATAATCTTCTGCATCATCCTCTTGCTTTTGTTACATATTCTGATAAAAAAAATGAGAGTAGATCATTGAACAACTTCTGCAATAATATCTTGTTTTAACACTCATCATAGCGGAGTTATCTTGAATCACTTTTTTCAGTCTGTCTCCTCTTCACTTCAGTTCTGCGAATGCATCTCTCTGCCCTTCTCTACCTTTCTCAGGAGTGAAGGTTTATACTTTGCCTGTAACTTTCTATTTTCCCTTACCTTTCTTACCCTGTCTCCCAGGGGTGAGAGCGTTAGGGTTCTTGTAGGTACTGTAAGCTGGATTTCCCTGGAACTACCAAACGGCACAAGCTTTCCCTCAGCCCAATGAATAACTATATTTACCTCACGGGATGCCATGACACCCAGGTTCCTCACATCATGGCATATGGTGCAACCATAGACTGTATATATAATGGACGCCCTCTGCCTTGTCGTTGGGTGAAGCCACTTCGAGAACAGCACACTCTGGTGACGGGCTGCAGTAAATGGCATAAATCCTACCTCTGCCAGCCATCCTTATGGGGCTGTGGATAAACTTTAGAAAGTTATTGCACAGAAAATAATTTTTTCTCCCCCCTACTTGCAATGTTGACATGTAGTTTCTGTAAAACTGGTTTGTGCTCAAGTCCTCTTTTTTCTGTGCAGCTCAATTTTTATGTTGTCCATAGTATATACAGTCTATGGGTGAAACTAAGCTTTCCTTCATGGGCATAAAGCCATTGCCTGAACTGCTCATACTGAGTTGCTTTCCATTTATAGTCATCTGCAGGCTTCTGTTGCACAATTTATTCAAGTATGCCATAAATTAGAATACATTTACTTTAATTTTTTCTGAGATTCACCTGCACCTAGATACAAATGAAAAGATTCATATGGCAACCTACTGTTGTTCTGATGCAGTAACATTATCAGCCATTTGTCATTAGCTTACCCACTCCTGGTAGCTTTGCTGCTTCCCTCCTCTGCTCCTTAACTTGCTCTGATGCCACAGTATCATCATCTGCTGCAGCTCTTTTTCTCTTGAACATAAAAGTTCTGCATTTTGTTTTATTTCCACATCAAGATTCAAGCAGGTGTCCTTTTAAAAGCTCGCTTCTTCCGCAAAAGGCGGGACGCGAGCCTTGGCGCCTAGGCAACCAGCGTCCAATCAAAAGTGCGCAATGAGCGTTCCGACTTTCAGAGTTTGTTTGCGGAAGCAAATACGGCTCACTCGCAAGCAGCATGATCCTATTGGATTACTACGGTTACAATGCAGAGTTCAGACTGACGTGCAGCAACACGGTAAGCAAATGTAGCCTA